ACTCCATCAACGAAATAATCAGTTGCCTTAGAGTGTATCAACGCCTTCTCTAATAAATAGAGTAGGCCGTGTTGTGTATAGAGCATTATCTGTTCCATGTCCTCTGATGTCATTACCCTCGCAGCATTGGGACCTTACCCTATCTTCAAAACCACTACTTTGAAATGATATTTGAAAGACAGACTCCTGTCAAAAGTAATTAATATATATTTGTGTGAACTGTCTCTATATTACTGCCATTTATTGTAATGTCTGGCAACACATCTCTAACAATCCTAGTATTAAACACCACAATACTGTCGCTTTATCTGGGTTGATGACCGAGCCTGTTCCATCACACCACTCACTTACCGGATCTACAGCGAACTGCCGTTCTCAATGGCAAATAATTATAGGCTAGACGTACTTAAAAAAATTTAAAAAAAGCCCCTCCCAGCCCCCCCCCCCACTTTTCCATGATTGCAGTGTGTAGGATAAATATCTCAAGGATAAGAATCAAACAAGTACAAATTCCACAAACCCCTTTAACCGTATAGCTAACCCTATAACACTTTTTATTGCAAGGGAATCTGGCGACGCTCAACACTCAGGGGAAGGGCGAGACGGAAATAAAGAGAGTTTCTGGTACCATCAGAATTGGAACTCTTCGCTTGCCACTGAAGATGGGGACAGAGCGCTTATGGGAGTGTCCATAATGTCGCGATGTCGATTCCTAAAACAACATTCAACACTTTTTGTTAGTCATAGAGCACAGTTATACTGGGGTACCACAAAACGTCTACGAGGTTCCCAGTAGTTAAATGTGGGTGGGTGCGACGATGTTAGACAGAAAGTGAGTGAACTTGAACCCCACTAGGATTGCAAAGAGCAGTGTGTCATTACTCGGATAAGAATCCCTCAGGTACAAATCCCAGAATCCTGTTCAACCGTGAGGTTATATTAGAGCCACCGACGTTTACAATGTAACCTGAAGTCCAGGCGGGATAGCTTCGGGGAAGCTAACAAAAAGTGGAGCTCTTCTGCTTTTTTACCCAAAATTTCTGTATTCGTTGTAAATATAAAAGCGTTTGCCTCATTGGCAGATGTTAACCGACCTTGCAATAATTTAGAAAATAAAAGTTATGTTGATACATTAAGGTTATATTTAATATATTTTAAACCGCATTAACAGTATATATTATTATAAATTAATAAAGAACCTTTTAGAATCATTTTATTTTATTTGTCCACACGATAGGAAAACCTGGTAGAGAGAAACTTCCTTGATGGTAACAAATAAGTTTTGACAAGAATCGGGGACCAGCCGAATAAAATGTGAATCTGACACGGAGAACGTCTGATTATAGTGCCTTCAGAAACTGATCTTTGGTGAAATTAGTTCATTTAGTTGAAAATTATATGTAAGTTAGGTTAGTCATTTACGTGGATTTTTACAGTTGGTACTATTTAATTTACAGTCAACGGAATCCAGTCAGCATTCTGATTTAGTTCTCAGCTGTAGTTTCTAACGAACATAAACAAATCAAGAAACAAAGTAGCAGACACTGCTGGTGTTTTCCCTTTTTCTTTTTTTACCCACCGCATGACTTTGCACACACTTATATGCCAGTGTGCAGTTTGTTTACTCGAGGTAATCAAATAGTCGGATAGTTGTTTTGTCAAATTCATTAGTTCTCTTCTTCTTCTTCTTCTTCTTCTTCTTCTTCTTCTTCTTCTTCTTCTTCTTCTTCTTCTTCTTCTTCTTCTTCTTCTTCTTCTTCTTCTTCTTCTTCTTCTTCTGTGTGTTATCCAATAAATGGATTGCTGGCTTCATTATGTGTTATTATGTGTTACAGCTATATCTACACCTTTTGGCCCAACACACCAGATTTCTGCAAACCCGTAATTTAGTAATTAGTTGCCTTTTACATGCTTTTTAGGAGGCATATGGGGCCCCAGTACCACGTATATTAGCAGAGATTTTGTTGTCATTTCAACTTCATGTTCAGATCTGTACCATAACTTAGTTACTTAGATATATTATCAGTTTCTGTTGACTTAGGTTGCTGAGTCATGATAAAATAATTTTAGGCTCGTAGTACAAGTACTTACATTATTATAGAAATGTTGTTGTATGAACTGAGAGCAGACTACAAGAAGAGCATACCTTGAAAAGATGTTAACCCACACAAGAGCACTGTGGAGGAAACAAAAAAAAAAAAAAAATAAATAAATGAGCACAGAAAAATTATCATTGGCTGCTACCCACTGGGGGGGGGGGGGGGGGGGGGGGAGTATACTTGGGAGGGGATCCAAGCATAGTGAGGATGATGTTGACTAACTAACTAACCTGAGATACAACTGTTAGGGAGTGTGTAGGGGGGGGGGGAGTATACTTGGGAGGGGATCCAAGCATAGTGAGGATGATGTTGACTAACTAACTAGCCTGAGATACAACTGTTAGGGTGTGTGTGTGTAAAGGGGGGGGGGGGGAGTATACTTGGGAGGGGATCCAAGCATAGTGAGGATGATGTTGACTAACTAACTAGCCTGAGATACAACTGTTAGGGTGTGTGTGGGGGGGGGGGGGGGGGGAGTATACTTGGGAGCGGATCCAAGCATAGTGAGGATGATGTTGACTAACTAACTAGCCTGAGATACAACTGTTAGGGTGTGTGTGTGTAAAGGGGGGGGGGGGAGTATACTTGGGAGGGGATCCAAGCATAGTGAGGATGATGTTGACTAACCAACTAGCCTGAGATACAACTGTTAGGGTGTGTGTGTGTAAGGGGGGGGGGGGGTATACTTGGGAGGGGATCCAAGCATAGTGAGGATGATGTTGATTAACTAGCCTGAGATACGACTGTTAGGGTGTGTGTGTAAAGGGGGGGGGGGAGTATACTTGGGAGGGGATCCAAGCATAGTGAGGATGATGTTGATTAACTAGCCTGAGATACAACTGTTAGGGTGTGAAGTGTTACATATTTTAGGCCATGGCATATGAAATGCGACAGGCAATCAGTTTTCTTTTTCCTCTTAACCCTTTCTTCCCAGACCAGTAGGGAAGTTTTTTTTTTTTTAAACAAATTTTTAAAGGTTGAATTGGCAGCAGATGGGAAAAATAAATCTTTCGCTGCTAGGAATTTTTTTTATCCTTCTGGATCCTCTTCATGCCATTGTTGATACATTCAGCATTTACAGGTGACCTCCATTTCTACTGTTCTGCAGCTTTTCTGAGTGTGGTATTCCATGCCATATTGCATTCCTTCATTTCCCTTTCTACTGTCTGCCAGGTTTCCTGAGGTCATCCGTGTCTCCTTTTTCCATCTGCGGTCTGTCGGAGAGCTTTCCTTGCCAGTGTTTTGTGAGACATTCTGCAGACATGTCCAAGCCATCTCCATCTTTTTCCTTTGATAACATTTGCCAGTGTTTTGTGAGACATTCTGGGGACATGTCCAAGCCATCTCCTTCTTTTTCCTTTGATTGATAACATTTTCCCCAGGGAATCCTCACAAAAAAAAAAAAAAAAATGGAACAGAGAGTAAGATACAGATATGAATAAGATGGAGAGGAAATAAAGGGACCAGCACAAGATGTCTACAGGATGATTGATTGCATTTTATAGTCGGGTGATAAAGATTAGACATGAGAACAGCAGGCTACAAGTCAAGAGACTGACCAAGAAAGAGATCGGTGGAAGATATTTAAAAAAAAAACTCTTAAGAAACACAGTATGACATTAACATAGCTACGCAATCAGCAAAAGACAGGAAACAAAATCTTAACTCCTCTCTCTGACACGTTATAGCATAAGCAGTTGGACAAGTGAAGACGACGATAAAGGATGGAAGAAGAAGAATATGCTTCATGTATGACAGATGCAATGTTATTACTTCTTCATCTCTTCATCTTTTTTTATCTTTTTGTCATAAAACTTGTAAAAGAATGCCTTGATGAAAGCTGTCTTGCAGCGCAGATCACCCCATCTACTATACAACTTTATCATAACTCAGGTTGGAGCAAGCTTGACAAACTTGAATGATCTTCTTCTTCCTCTTCTTCTTCACTTCCTCTTTTACCGCTGTAGGTGTCGAGGGAGATATAAGTTTTTGTTTCTAGCTCTTCTGGCTGCCTCGACCATAGGCACATCGTGCTGTTGTAGAGTTTCTCTGATGTTATCCTTCCATCTTGTTCTTGGTCTACCCCGTGCTCTACGTCCTTCTTCTCTTTTCATGTATGCTTTGTATGGTATGGTGTCACAAGGCATTCTCTCTAAGTGGGCAAACCATTTCACTTGCTGTCTTTGTATGTAATCCAGAATTGGTTCTGTGCCGACTTGTTCTCTTATGATCTCATTCCGAATGTTATCTCTTATGGTCACTCCTACAGCCCTTCTCAGACATCTCATTTCCGTGGTTACTAATTTTCTTTTATGGTTTGTTGTGAGTGACCATGTCTGGCACTGGTAGCACAGAGTTGGAATAAATATGCTTTGTCTCTTTGTGCTGATTGGGATTGTCTTGTGCTGTAAGAGGGGGACTAGCTGTCCCAATACTTGGTTTGCTTTACTGCATCTAATGTTAATTTCTTTATCCAATTTCCCATCTTCGGTAAATGTAGTTCCCAGATATTTTAACTCAGATGCCTGTTTAATGCCTTTGTATTCTTTTGCTATGTTTAGATCTGTCTTTATCTGTCTTCTGACAAACTTGAATGATGCCTTGGGAAAAGTAGGTAGGTAGGTGTATCCTACCACTTTTTTTGGAAACTGATTTTTATTTAATCTGCTCTGTCTGTTAAATGCAAGTATTCTACATGTAAATATTTAGTAAATTGTGTTTTCTTGTTGTTTCAGTTTACCTAATTAGTGCCATCATATGATCAGCAAAGACAGAGCAAATCCTCAAATGTTGTCAAGGGCACAATCAGGATAAAACTATTGGTAGCTAATCTCACAGATTCAGTCTTCAACCAATGCACATTATTTCCGTCTTGAAGTCCCGTTGTTGAACAGAAGAATCATGGATGTTATGGTAGCTGTCATCAGACCTAAGCAAGGACATTCGGGTCAAGGTTACAAACCACAGTTGTATGAAATACTGCTTTTGGACAGCAAAACTCCGCCTGGAGAAAAGGTATATTGAGTCGTAAATTTTAAATTTTAGCCCATTCTGCTTCACATGTGATAATATTCGTGTTTGTGGTGTGGTGATATGGGTCACAGGCATGAGGTAAAGTTAAGACCATTGCGCTGCGTATAAGTTGATACCTCATACCTCTTTAGGTGCCAGAACGCTGTGTGTTGGTTTTACAAAACCTCTAGCAAAAGTGCTGCCACATGTCTATATCATGCAGCTTGGATAATGGCCTATATTGACCAAACCTGAGCTGGCAGGGGATCTCGGAGCTAGTGGCCCCCCTCCCCCCACCCCCAACCTCCAGTGATGCAGTGCCAAGACAGCTTTTGGCACTTATCAGAAGTATTAATTTAAAAAAAAAAGGGGTGAAATGTGGGGGGGGGGGGGGGGGGGAGGGGGTGAATAGAGGTTTTGGAAGATATTCAATGCTGAGAGGGAAAGAAAGGTAGACTTTTTATCAGGTTGCAGCTGGTACTATTAGTATGATGACTCTTTGTTGGTTAATGAGGAAGGAGACAGAGCACCTGAGGGAATGTCCTGAGTGCAGTGATGTCAATTCTTGATTCATTATTTTCATTTCATTATTCATTCATTCATTCGGCCAGCAGATTAAAGAAATCCTCCATAAAAAGCATAATGTCTTGGAAATCGAAATACTTCTTGGCCATATTGAACGTTGTAGATTTATAAAGAACTTCTTCTTCTTCAAGTTGACCAGCTGTAAACTCTAGCGGAGACTTCTGGCTGTTCACCCACTTCTGGACTTTGGTCTTGTTCCAGAACTTGAGCTTTGCATACACATCCCGTTTTACTGATCTGGCTTAATTGTATGCTGACTTTTGGTGCCTCACCTCTCGGGCAGATGCACCCCGAACATGAAGGAAATATATGTCCAGAGCTTTGCCAAAGAGCCCAGAGTTTTGCCAAAGAGCCCAGAGTTTTGCCAAAGAGCCTAGTTTTGCCAAAAAGGCCAGAGTTTTGCCAGAGCCCAAAGTTTTGCCAAAGAGCCTAGTTTTGCCAAAGAGCCTAGTTTTGCCAAAGAGCCCAGAGTTTTGCCAAAGAGCCAAGAGTTTTGCCAAAGAGCCCATAGTTTTGCCAAAGAGCCCAGAGTTTTGCCAAAGAGCCCAGAGTTTTGCCAAAGAGCCCAGAGTTTTGCCAAAGAGCCCAGAGTTTTGCCAAAGAGCCCAGAGTTTTGCCAAAGAGCCCAGAGTTTTGTCAAAGAGCCCAGAGTTTTGCCAAAGAACCTAGAGTTTTGCCAAAGAGCCCAGAGTTCTGCCAAAGAGCCCAGAGTTTTGCCAAAGAGCCCAGAGTTTTGTCAAAGAGCCCAGAGTTTTGCCAAAGAACCTAGAGTTTTGCCAAAGAGCCCAGAGTTCTGCCAAAGAGCCCAGAGTTTTGCCAAAGAGCCCAGAGTTTTGCCAAAGAGCCCAGAGTTTTGCCAAAGAGCACATAGTGGGAGAGACAGTCTGCAGATGGCTTCATAGATGATAAATGTAGTAATTGTAGAATTATTATTTACAAATATATTAATTTGTATGAATATTGAATTGTGAACAACAATTAGAAAGAGACAAACACTGTTCTTTGGCCACATAATGAGAAGAGAGACATTGGAGAACATCGTGACAACTGGAAAGATCAGTGAAAAAAGGGGTAGTGGCAGAAATGATGCTGGATGGGCTGAAACGATGGCATGGAGGGATATCATCAAGAGAGTTGTTCCAGGCAACCAGGGATCGTGATCTATGGAGAGCCATGAGCACCTACGCCAATTGGCAGGGCGCATGATGATGATGATGATTGAAGTGTGTGCTCCTAGGTTCCATTTTGGGATGGAAAAAAAAAAGAATAAACACACTGGCTCCAAACAAGCAAGTCATAAAAGGTGACTAATTGGGATTGATGAAAGGTGTATTAGACCAAAAGGTGCAGATATCGCAGCCTGTCTGTAAACCACAATGCAATGTATCAGCAGCAGTTTTAAGTTCAAATTCAGAAGAAGAAGAAGATTTGTATGTTTGTAGAAGAGGCATGGCTCGACCGGCATGGCAATGAACACAGATCGCCAAGAACACCCTGGAATGAAAGCTTATGAGGTGGGACATTTGGAAGAGGACCGAGTAACTTTCCACCATTCCTTGATGAGAGCGACATTCTGCAAAGGACCTGCTACATAGTGGTTATTCATTTATGTTATATTTGTGTAAATCTCTTCTTCCGCCTTTGATTCCCCCAATGGAGCATAGGCTGTCATCCAACCCATGTCATGTCTTTCTATCTTTTGCTGTTGCATACAGCTCATCCCCTATCCTCTCTGTCTTTTAAAATTCACTCTCAGGTTCTCTCCCCATGTCTTTGTCTACCTTTAATTTCTGTTACGGTTTTCCCATGTGGGATGCGGGGCCTCATTGTGGGGGAAACAAGAAAAGGACACTGCCTACCCAAAAGCCTGTTGTAGGAGTCGACTAATTGGGAGCTTCCTTCAAAGTCGGAGTGCATCTGCCTCAGAGGTAAGCAACCAACAGTCTGCATACAAATGAGTCAGATTTGTAAAACGGATCTGCATGCACAACTCAGGTTCTAGAATAGGACTAGAGTCCAGAAGGGGATGAACAACTAGAAGAACTTTTCACTAGAGTTTACAGTCGGTGAACACGAAGAAGAAGATTTCTATGACTCTGTGAGTTCCAGTGTAAAGACATTCTAGTTATATTGTTTTATATTGCTTTTATGTCTTCTCAACATGTGCCCTATCCAGTGCCAGCACCTTTTCATTACCTGTTCATTCACTGTAATTTATTTAGGTCTCTCCCTAAGTCTCCACATTATCGATTCTCTCATAGCCTTTAAATTATAAATTGGTTTAGATTTGTGAAATAAACATAAACAATTTCATTAGGTGAAGCCTGCCAAGTACCTGCCCATGTTTCAGATGAAGGTTGGGGAAGAGGAACCACGAGCGTTAGTGCTGACTCAGGTACAGAGACTTACAAACATCAAAGGTAAGAGTCTGCATAGATTTGATTCATGCTTTTAACACATCTGGTGGTCAGGGTAGTTTAGGGACTGCTGCATTCATTTGTTGGTTCTGAGTTCAAATCTCCCTTGTGATATTTTAATTTCAGTCACAGGAATGGTGAAATAGTGTCGCTAGTAATTCGTTTAGGTTCTAATATCACGCCATCACTGATAACACTGATGCCAGTAGAAATCACACAAGCTGATTTCACTGTCCCATTTGATTGGAGGCTTCCTTCAAAGTTGGGGTGCATCTGCCAGAGAGGCAAGGAACCAACAGTCTGCATACAAATAAGTCAGGTCTGTAAAATGGATGTGCACACACCACTTAGGTTCTGAAACAAGACTTTAAGTCCAGAGGTGGATGAACAACCAGGTCTTACCGCCAGAGTTAACAGCTGGTGAAAAAGAAGAAGAAGACAAGATCTTTAGCTCCTTGTGTCGCACCAAGCAATCAGCTCAGTAGCTAGGTGATGGAACCAAGGCCTAAAAAAAATATGTATCGGATAACATGGGCTGTGATTCCATGACCTCTACCATTGAGGCTTACAAGAAAATTTGATGTCAGCTTAGCTTTAAAAAAAGCCATTTGGCATTAAAAAAAAATTTGGTTTTGTGGCTTATCGAGGGGAAGGGTTTTACCTTCAGATTGTCCTGTTTGAGAACCAGAGTTTCAAATGACACAAAAAGTGTGCACAGTCACAAGATGGGAGAGCCATTAGAAATGTAAATGATTGGTCAGTCCAGTGTGTTTTCTAAAAGGTGTTGAAATATGCTGTATGTGTCCCAGAATGTGTCAGAATTTGGAACCCAGCCGCCAGACATGATGGTCATAAATAAAGTTAAAGACCTGTTTCCACACCTTCGGCTTATTGGGCATACAGTGCTAGACCTATATTTTATAGACCAATCGGCACTCGGTGGGTCATGTGATCAGTGTGGCTCGGCCATCTTCACTTCCCAGGACCTTTACTTGGTACACACATTGAAGGTTGGGTCAACCTGGGAGCCAAGGTCATTTTTGAGAAAGGTCAGGTTCCAGACTTGAAACCACAGCCTTTATACATGATATCATCACTTGAACAGAACAGACCAAGTCACGGTTTTTCGCTTACGCACTGGACACTGTAGACTCAATAAACACTCACATAAATTAGGTATGAGCCAAACAGCTCTCTGCCAGTGCCTTCGTGCTGAACAGACTCCAGAACATGTCCTGCAAGACTGTCCTCTCCTGGCGGAGCTGCGGAGCGACATATGGCAACACCCAGTAGAACTGACAACTAAGCTTTGGGGAAACCTAAGAGACCTTGAAAAGACATCCCAGTTTATGACCCACAGTGGATTATGTGCATGACCAGAGATCGCTGAAGAAGAAGATACATGATATCATGAAATTAAATATGTAACTAACCAACACCCTGTTTCTTTGTTTAATTGTTTATGACTTGTTCTTTCTGTCTGTGAGGGGAGAGGCCACTGCAGGGCCAGTGGACTGACCAGATTAGAAAGTGTTGGAGTAAGCTGTAACTTGAACCAGGACTTTCTTTTTATCCAGATGTGCAATAGAACCACTGGCGATGAATGATGTCATGATGTTGAAAATACATCTAAACACTACACTGTTACCTTGTATAAGGATTTATGAATTCTTCCTCCTTTCTGTACCAGTGAAGATGGTGGTGTCAGTCCAGTAGAGGGTGATGTAAGTCCAGTAGAGGGTGATGTAAGTCCAGTAGAGGGTGAGTTAAGTCCAGTAGAGGGTGAGTTAAGTCCAGTAGAGGGTGAGTTAAGTCCAGTAGAGGGTGATGTAAGTCCAGTAGAGGGTGATGTAAGTCCAGTAGAGGGTGATGTAAGTCCAGTAGAGGGTGAGTTAAGTCCAGTAGAGGGTGATGTAAGTCCAGTAGAGGGTGAGTTAAGTCCAGTAGAGGGTGAGTTAAGTCCAGTAGAGGGTGATGTAAGTCCAGTAGAGGGTGATGTAAGTCCAGTAGAGGGTGAGTTAAGTCCAGTAGAGGGTGATGTAAGTCCAGTAGAGGGTGAGTTAAGTCCACTAGAGGGTGATGAAGGTCCAGTAGACTTACAGATTCAAAAAATGTTGAAGTAGGCTGTTACTTGGACCAGGTATTTCTTGGTCAGAATTTGTATTGCAGCCACCAATCATGATATCACAATGTTGAAAATACATCTAACCATATCACTGCTACCTTGCATCAGGGTTCATAAATTCTTCTTTCTTTCTGTACCAGGGGAGAGGGCGCTGCAAGTCCAGTGGAGCAGTGATGTGTCAGCATCCCACAGAGAATCTCTGTCACAGTTCTGCCTATATTTTGTCCCAGTCAGTCCAAACGGTAGGTCATTACGGTAGCTAATTAACCCATAAAGTACCTATAAACTGTGAAAGCTGCAGCGATAAGGTTTTACAGATAAATGATAACATTTGGGGAGAATTAAATAAGAAATTAAAAATTTTTTTTTTTGTGTGAAAGAAATTAACTCATGAAAACTAGTTACCTGCATCAGAAAGAGACAATCGACATCAGATTTTTCCAGTGTAAAACGCTCTTCCATGTATAAGACAACCCCAGTTTTGTTTAGATCAAATGTGGAAATAAATATTTTAGACACACTCCATGTATAAGACGACACCCAATTTTAAACTTAAAATAATTGGGAATACCTCTTTGTTACACAGGAAAATACTTTATTCTGTCATCAGAAGGAGAAAACTTAAATACTTTTGACAGTGGCAGAGTTGGAGGGACAACAGGAAACCATGACTGAAAATACTAGACAAATGATTGAAAGTACGTGAGACAGAAGGCTTTGGAAATAAATGGCTACCAAGACTATAACAGCACTGAGTTTGATTAAAAAAAAAATTCACTTGACTAATCTAGACTTTCAGGTGGCTCAGCTTGAGTACCAGGGCATTTTCTTGGAAGAAAAGATCATCATCATCATGTAGCAGATTCTTAGCAGAACATCACTATCATCCTGGTCTGCCTGAAAGAAACTGGGTGTTTCACCAGCTTTCCCACCTCCTACACTTACAGACCCAAGGAGCCACTTTTATTCTATGCCCATCTTTGTGCTGGTCAGCTCCTGCCTCTCCTTCCTGGCACTGCGCCTTATTTTTGTAAATTTTTTTTTCAGTCTGCTGTGGCTCTTGATGTGGCCAAAATATTTCAGCCTCAGAGACACGATTTTGTTTATTGGCTAATCTTCCTTGATGTTGGGATCTTTTAGGATGAAGTAAGGACAACTAGCACAATACTGCTGACACCACTCATTGAGTGGTGATTAGTCCATGCAAACAGGAGGCTGCCACCATATGCCCGGGATTTCCCCATGTGGGTTCTAGGGTCCTGTTACGGGTGGAGGAGGGGGAGACTCACTGCCCACCCAGCCTTCCCAACAAGCATGTTGTAAAAAGCGACTAAAAAGGGGTGTTTTCTTTGAAATTGGTATGCATCTGCCTGAGAGGCGAGGAATCAGTAGTCTGCATACTAATAAGCCATATTTGTGAAATGGATGTGCATGCAAAACTCAGGTTATAGAACAGTGAAATTCCAGAAGTGGATAACAACCTTTTTTTTAACCAGGGTAAACTCAAGAAAGATAAATTCATAATTCTATGTACCTCAAACGATTATAGGCTGCTTTAGTTTGTTGAAGCCTTGCAATCAACCAGGGTCGTCCAGTTTTGTACAGACAAGAAGACATGGTTGTGAACTTGCTTAACCCTTGCAAAATAGGCATTTCATATATTGGACTTTTTTATGTTTCAGTTGAAAGGTTTCTTTTATATTCATTCATTCAGTAGCATGTCCCTCGCGGAACCTCGCTGCCATAACAACCCTCCGGAAAACCTTCCTATCATGAGCAAGATGTCCTGCGTCTGATACACCCATCTGGAGATCATCTGCCACATCCTGCACCCATCTTCTCCTTGGCCTTCCTCTTCCTCTCTTCCCAGGCATATACCCCTCCATTATTGTTCTCTCTAGACCTCCATGACGTTTCAAGTGACCAAAATATTTCAATTTTCTTTGTTTTATTGTCTTTACTAGCCAACCCTCTTCAATATTCAGCTCTTGAAGTATGGATGCATTTGTTCTTTTCTTTACCCAAGATATTCTTAGAACCTTTCTTTTATATGCTTCATTTTATTTAAATGCTAGGTAATCAATTGTACTATCTGTAACTTCTTTGTTCAGTTATTTATTTATTATTATTATTATTTCCTTAGAAAAAATAAACAAAAGATTTGCCGATCAAGCCCAGAATGCTCCAGGATTTTATCCCCTGGATTATGTGACTGAGGTTGTCAACAACGGGTCTATCAACTTCCCCTCATCCACAAAGAAACTGCTGCAGCACCTTGAGAGGTAAGATGCTCTTTTTGCTGCGTCTGCTTTCTGGCATCGACTGAGTTGTCTGCTCTTGACAGCGACAGCCCAGTGATGCTCTTATGAAGGTGTTGATTTGTGGTATCAGTTGAATGAGACACATTTTTAGGTTCTGGCACGTAGTGAGGAAGGGCAAGTAAAAATCAGAGGACATACTGGGTAGTATGAAGAAATTAAATGAATATAAACACAATAGACAGATCAATGTTTTGCTTGGAGCCTTTTTTTTTATATGAACTACAGGGCACTAACAAAGGGCAACATTCTTGGTATTATTAGCTTCACTGGTGTGACCCCTGTTTTCAGCACTTTTTAGATAACATAACATTGAAAGTTATAGGGGCACTGCGATTCTGTCCTCCGTCTCATTAGAAGAACAAACTATAGGATTTGACTGAATAAATAGCTGGTTCATGAGAGAGAGGGGTTGGGGGGTGAGGAAAGAGAGAGTGGGAATTGTAGAAAGGGAGGATGGACTGAAGGAGGAAGAGAAGACAGCTAGGAGGAAACTGCAAATGGATTTTTCCTGTGTTTGAAAAAAATGAAGCATATGTGATGGCAGTGTTGTGAAGTGTTCTGAGTAGTTGAGAATGATATCTATACTGATATGCGAACTAATTTTGTCCCAAACAGTTATTTTGACCAACTAATTCCTAGTCTGAACGAAGAAGACAGATTGCACAGTTTATTTATTGCCTGGCATATTTCGCGGTATCTCGTCAGGCGCATACTGCAGTAACAATTACATAAATGAAGCAGATAAGTGAATCCTTTATAACTGAAGTACAAATTCAACAATGATTAAACATAACTGCCTGTTTTACCAGGGCAGCTGCAATGTCAGAACCATATCTTTTTGTATACAGAGTTCAGGGTGCAGGTGACGAATCGTGGCAGCTTTAAGAAATCTTAGCGTTCTGCCATTGGCTGTTAAGGATTTGAAATGCGTTGTCCTTGGTTACAGTTTGTCCTGATTTTAAAAGATGGCGTGCTATTGCGGAGGGATGATCTTTACTTTAGGTATTCTCATTTTGAATATTATTTTCATAGCTTTTTCCACCCAGATTGGAATGTGCTCAGCGACTCGTTTCTCCACTTGTCTATCAGTTCTGCCCACATAAACAGCTTCACAGCTGCATTGAAATTGGTAGATACAGTTTGATCTGGTGTACGTCAACACTGGTTGTTTCACCGATGGCATTAGTTGGGGGGGGGGGGGGGGGGGGGGGGGGGGGGGAATTCGTTTCAAACCTGATAACAGGCAAAGCAGAACAGAAAGTATGACTGACTGCTGTTTTAAGTCAGTCATATAGACATTTCATAACTTCATCCCCTCTAAAGGTTAGATGGATGTAGACTTGGGGACTGATGTTTCTGTGATTGTTGGTTTAGGAGGCTGGCAGTGGTGTTTCAAAAATCCAACTGGGTATCCATCAAAAATAACATTTGCTTGAGAGATTCTAGTTCAGATTGTAGCATATTACTGGAGCAAATTTTTCTAGCGCGGCTGAATACTGTTCGCGTTTGTACTGGAAAGGTGCAAAACTATTAAAGTTAAGGTACTGGCCCATCCATTTAAAACTCTCAGCTTGCAGCTGTAGATGGGGACGGAGCGTTTATGGGAGTATACCGAGTGCTGTGATGTCGATTCTTATTTCAGCATTCAACATTATAGTTTTGTCTTTTTACCAAAAATGTTTTTCCGTCTACAGTTGGCTGAAAGAGAAACACATAAGGCCAAATGCCATTGAATGCATGTTTAGAGCTGGAGCAGAGTATCGCATTCACTTCACAGTCCACAATCCCGTGTTCATTCCAAGCCGCATCACATCCGATACCAACACTGGGGGCGGGGGAACTCCAGCTCCCCAGGAAGTTGTGAAAGTAGCCAATGAAGCCTTGGCAAAAATGTTGTTTATTGAGAAATGTGAAACAGTTGTGATCAACCCTTTATTTGGATCCAATTTGGAATACAAAACAAAGGTAAGATGATTTAATTGCAAAATCTTGAAATAGGTAGCACACTTGCATGTCACTTACTCCATTCTTAACCTGTTTACCCCAGGAAGACTTAAGACAGAATTGCAATGAATGAGTGGGAGTCCCCCCTTCCGCTTCTTTTCCCTAAATGCTTTAAAAAAAACATTTTGCAGTCACTAATACATTAAAAATAATTTATTGATCTACGTATACAAATTACAAAGGGAGTAAGCAGTAAACACAGAGTGAAGCATTAAAGTGGCAAGAGGGGCTTTCATAGCACTAGGGAATTTGTGGAGGTCAAAAGAAATTAAAAGAAATACTAAACTAAAAATGTTGAATTCTAATGTCAAATCAGTACTATTGTATGGGGCGGAAACATGGAGAACAACGAAGGCAATTACTAATAAATTACCAACATTTTTTAACTGGTGCCTGCGCAGAATAGAGGGAATAAAATGGTATGATAGAATAACTAATGTAGAACTTTGGGAGAGAACTAAACAGGCTCCAGTGGATCAGGAGGTGAGGAAAAGACGCTGGCGTTGGATAGGGCACACACTGAGAAAACAGGAGAACAGCATAACTAGAATGTCTTTGCATTGGAACCCACAGGGGCATAGGAATAAAGGAAGGCCAAAAACATGGAGAAGAGAGCTGGGGAATGAGGTTAGAAAGATTGGGAGGACATGGGGAGAGCTCCATGTAATGGCGAAGGATAGAACGACTTGGCGTGAGTTGGTTGAGGGCCCATGCTCCATTGGGGGATAAAAAGGCAGAAGAAGAAGAAGCATTAAAGTAAATACAACATACCCCAAGGCCTGAAAAATATTCATCCAGTTTCTCATGACCCTGTTGCCTCTCTCATTGAGGCTATGGCCAGATTTTACTTCAACATGGCTTAAAAGAAAACCTGTTTGGTTCACATAAATCTCCTCCCCGAATCTATTTTTAGTAAATATATTTATTTATTGACCTTCTAAACACTACACAGGGGCGAACAGAACCTTTGATGCTAAATTACACTTTGCTGGTTGCCTTTACGGAGATAGGGCCAAGACAGACATGCTCATTTGACAGCCTTTACGGAAATAGGGCAAAGACAGACATGCTCGTTTCGCAGCCTTTACGGAAATAGGGCAAAGACAGACATGCTCATTTCACAGCCTTTACGGAAATAGGGCAAAGACAGACATGCTCGTTTTACAGCCTTTGCAGAAATAGGGCAAAGACAGACATGCTCGTTTTACAGCCTTTGCAGAAATAGGGCAAAGACAGACATGCTTGTTTCACAGCCTTCTGGGAAATAGGGCAAAGACAGACATGCTTGTTTCACAGCCTTCTGGGAAATAGGGCAAAGACAGACATGCTGGTTTCATGGCTTCATCTGGTTACAGAGTTAATTCCATCTTTCTTCTTGTGCGACGCTCTTTAATGTCTTGTAACTCTTTAATTTAATAGGTGTTTCTCATGCCACTTCTGTTTTATTCCATCTATGTGACTTTAATTATGTCTTTGTAATTTATAAATACATTTAAAAACAATTTATTAGTGACCTAGGTAAAATGGTTGTTTTTGAATGAATCCTTGAGGAAATTCTCACGGGTTCATGACTCATTATTTGTTTTGTGTGTGTGTGTTCCAGGGGCGAAAGGGTTACAGAGAGTGGCACATGAAATATAGATGTAATTAAAGAGAATTAGTACAAAAGAATGACTTCTGATATACCTGCCAATACAGCTCTCACATGGACACCAGAGGGAAAGAGAAAACAGGGGCGCCCAAAAACAGCATGGAGACGAACGATGGAAAGTGACCTGAGTGCGGCATCTTTGACATGAAAAACTGCACTGAAGATTGCACAGGACAGGAAAGCATGGAAAGTCCTCTCTGAAACCTCATGTGCCACCTGGCATAACGAGAACTGATGAGTACAAGAGACAAGGAGGGAAATAAAGACACCCACAGACAACCAAGGGGTTGCATAGTGAGGAAAGTTCAGAACCGGTCCAGCGGCTGAAATACTTGATAATGGTTGTGATAATGACAAAGATGATAAGGATGATGTATTATCTAATTTATCCAGTAACCAGATATAATAACTTGTCATATCCATATTCTTTCAAACTCATATTTTCTTTTCATTCAGCCAAATTCTTATGTGATAAATCAACACTGGCCTAGCATACCACAGTATGACAAGATTATTGCTGCTACTTTACCGTAAGTAATTTAACATTCTTTTTCTTCTCAGCGTCGGCTCTGTGGCTAGGTCGATGCGAACGCTTTGTAATGCCGGGATGCCGAGTTCCATCCCAGCTGCGGGCCATGGGCCTTGCGTTGGTTTCGACAGTGGTATCGAGAAAGTCGACCGTCCACAAAGCAATGGCAAACTACTGGACGTAAGTTTGCCTAGAAAAACCACACAACAGCCAGGGGCTGTTGGAGTTGGTTCTGCAACGTCCTGTAAAGGATACGCAACTAACCTTTTTCTTCTCAGCCTTCATAAGCTGTAAAGTCAGGCAGAAAGTTATGGTTCTTTGTCCACTTCTGGACTTTGGTCTTGTTCCATAACTTGAGTTTTGCATGCACATCCATTTTACAGATCTGGCTTATTGGTATGCAGACTGTTGGTTCCTTGCTTGTCAGGCAGATGTGGTCCAGCTTCGAAGGAAAAAAGAATTTTACCTATTATAACCTAAATTAAAAAAAAAATGTACTTTTACTGATGCTGGATTTGTCTGTTTCTGAGAGGATCAGCTGTGTTGCGCTAAATTTGATTCTGTCTGGCTCAGTCTGTCCCAGCAGGGAAGCTAGCCACCTACTGCAGGCATTGCACAATGCATGAACTTCATAGCTCCAGTGATGGTCCTCAGTAATCTGTGAAACAATTTATCTGCTGAACAAGCAGTATGATCAGAAAACAAACCCCCAGCCTTCAGAGCACGAGGCATACATCTTGACCACTCAACTGTGAAGACCACCAAACTGTGAGCTTGTCCCCACATTTCTTCATTAAAAAACTGCTAGTAGTCTCTGTGATTCTTTATATTTCTCTTTGGCTTCTGGTCCAAAATGGCAAATAAGCTGGCTTAATTTTTCAAGTTTTGGCGAGTTATTTGCTTCTAGTTGGCTGTTGCATTTTGCCCCATACATGACTAAAAGTATATAGTTCTTTCTGTTGCCCAGCTACTGATTTGAGTGCATGGCATGACACTGAACTGCATATCTTATTTGGAATACTTTTTGACTGTGTCCAACATGGTTTGTTTTGTGAACTACATGGCAAATAACAACCTTTGAGATGGTTTGGATAGAAAAATGGTTCTCAACCTTTCTAAAGCGGCGACCTTTTAATACAGTTCCTCATGTTGTGATGACCCCCTACCATACAGTTATTTTCGTTGCTACTTCATAACTTCAGTGAATATGTGTTTTCCTAGGGTTTTTGGTGAACCCTGTGAAATGGTCGTTTGACAAAAGGGTCTAACGAGCGACAGTTTGAGAACCACTGGGATAGAAACTTTGAAACCGAATCTAATGGGCTGTGGACATAGGAGTAACAGACATAAAGTTAGCAATAGTTAACGACAAAACCCAAGGTGTAGAAGAGTGAAACAAGTGTGTTTTTGTTTGAGTGTGGTGTGAGCAATACATGTAAGGACACATGTTTAGTAACACAGGTTATTGGCACAGGTTAATGAGGAAGAAATGAGGTCGGGACAGCCAGAGAAACAATACACTTGGAGCGAGTGCGAAAGCCAGCGAGTGGAAATTCATTGAATGTGTGAAAGGGCAGAGCAGAACGAGGGAAAGTGGCATTTGTGAGGCTGGGCTGTCACTGTAAAGATGGAAAGATAAAAAAAAGGCTGTATATTATTTTGAGTAACTGTTATATGGGCCAGTGTCTGTTGTGTTGAAAACAGGGAGATAAGCAGACTTTGTGCAGGTCATCCCTGGAGGAACTAATGAAGAGTGGGACTGACTGACTGACTTTTTACCCCACCAGGACATCACACAAGCGATAAACACCCCATGACACAAAGTGCCACCATGCGGATGAGGATCCCCGTGGAGAGGTCCCAGAAACCGCGTTCAGACATTTGGCCATATTTATGATCTGCCTATATTGCGACCCCTGGCAAAAGCCAGGGGGGGGGGGGGGGGCTTCAAATAACAAAAATTTTGGCCTAAAAAGGACGAACACAAGAGTGGGACAGACGGACTGGCAAGTTTAGGAACTGGTAAATATCTGAACAACAATTTATCAATGTGTTCCATGCTGAATGTGGGGTGTCCGTGAAGAGTTTGTGTGAAAGCCTGTCTGTCTGGTCTGTCCCACTTAGAGGAGGATCCTCACAGAGACACACTATGCTATTGATGTCATTGATAAAATACTTTTCAGATTTGTTTAGAGACGCTGATACTGTTTACGTGTACTTTTTATTCAAACAGTGGCCCTAGTTGGAAAGTCCAGTATCCCTTACATAGTTATGCTGCTGCAGGGGACAAAACTGAGGTCGAAATTCTACTAAAACAAGGCTATCCACATTCCCAGCTTGATAGCGTGAGTTGTGCCCCCATTCATTATGCTGCTTGGTAAGTGGGTGGTTTCTTGTGTGTGTGAGTGGAAAATATCAGGTGTGCAACAAATATGTTTGTTGATTGTTGCTTTCTATGGGTAATATACATCAAGTATGTTTGTTGATTGTTCCTTCAGTTGGGAGAATACAGTGTGTCCCACAAGTTTCCATGCATAGGAAAAAAAAATTCTTTAAAAAAAATGAAAACCATTTTTATTTATATAATAGGAACTACATGACTACCACTGTTTAAAAAAAAAAAAAAAAAAAATTTGATGCATATCTAGCGATGCTGAATACGTCTAAGCACAACTGAAGTTATGCTTGTAATGGCGTTGGTGATTTATTCCTTCTTCCTACATATTGGTCTATTCTTTTTTTTTTCTCTCTCCCACAATGGGGCCCTGGAACCCACAGAAGGACATCCATAGCATAAAACAGTCTTTTTTATTTTTACATTTAGTCAGAGCAAACCAAATGAACCAGGCTTCTGTAGTGACCACATATAAGTGGTATATTTTTAGCCTCATGAAACTTACTGCACTTGTTATCAAGTGTAGAGGATGAAGTAAAGTACTCTTTTTATGCCAGTGATGTTTGGGTATATGAAGCTTAGGCTCATGTTTTTATAAATCAATCAGCCCTCAGTAGGTGATATCGTCAGAATCATAATCCCCACCTTTACTCTCCATGACATTATCTTTTACTCATTTAAGGCTGGGTTGACCTTGTAGCCAAGGGCTGCAAGACTACTATGTTTACTTTAGTGGGAACTGTCGTAGGATATAGACCAATAAGTAGAAGGCTGAGTTTGGTTTGTGTTGTAGTGCTCTGAACTGAAATCAGTTGTCACAATGCAGTGTAAGTGCTGAGGTTGCTGAAACAGTTCAGAGACACTGGTAGTGTTGAAAAAAAGGAAAATCTTCTGGCTGACCGAGAACATTTGCAGTCCAGGATTAGAAGCCCAGAGAAAGCACTAGTCTTACACACCCTGCTGGTTTCTGCACTTGGAGAGGGGAAATGAACTTTGTACCACTGTCCCTGTAGGTAAACTATTTTAGTTCTGAGTTGAGAGCAAACTAATCTTTGGACTCATCAGAGATGCAAGCAGCAAAAGATGGAGAGTGAGAAGCAACAACAAAAATTCATAGTCTTTTTAAATCACCACTGATTACTGGAATCACGAGGGCAAGTAGAGTACAGTGGTTGGGACATAACAGAGAATGGCAGACATCAGATAGACAAAGATTTTTTTAACTTAAATTACCATAGACCATGAGGGAGACCAAGAAGGGGTGGTGAGATAATATCCAGACTTACAAACACTTGGAGTCACCAGTTGGAAAGAGAAGGTCAGTGACAGAGATGAATAGAGGTGGCTGATTTCTGCAGCAGTAAACCTCAAATAATAATTTTTTAAAAAGTTGAAAGAAAAGTTTCTGCACCAACTGCACTCCAGTAAATGTAAGTCCATTTCATTGCTTAGATTACTGAACATCAGTGCATTGAGCTTTATAGTTAAACTTAAGTTTTTTAAAGGATTCACAACCAACCAATCTTAACGACATCCCAGCTAACCAGATAACATGAATTTGTAAGTCTGAATAACCATTACTGAATGTTGTCATCTTCAGGTATGGTTGTATCAGTGTTGTCGAGACCCTTCTCGGCGCCGGCTGTTCTCCAAATTTATTGGATGGCACAAACAGTACTGCCCTTCACATAGCAGCCAAGAAAGGCAATGAGCAGCTGGCCCAGTGTCTCCTGCAGTGTCCAGATATTGATTTGGTAATGCTAGAATTCATTTAATGTGTGGCTGTGAGTTCAGATGGAAATAAAAGGAAGGATAGAATCATAATGACACATCTCTGTGTGGGTTCTGGGACCCCATTATTGGGAAAACAAGAATAGACCCACTGCTTTCCCAGCAAGCATGTCATAGGAGGCAACTAATTGGGGGGCATCCTTCAAAGCTGGAGTACATCTCCCAGAGAGGCAGAAAACCAAGAGTCTGCATACAGATAAGCTGATAAGCCAGATCGATAAAACTGTTGTGCATGCAACACTCAAGCTTCTGGAACAAGACTAAATTGTTGAGGTGGACGAACACCCTGGACTTTCCACTGGAGTGTGCAGCATAATGAAACATAATTAAGATGATGGCTCATTATTTACCAGAGTCTTCAAGGATAAAATGTAATATTTGATGAGGAGAATAATAATACATGACTAATTTAATAATTATTATAGGCGAAAGTAAAACCCTAACCTGCATTTTTCCTGGCGATAGCACTAGCCATGCGGCTCTGAATCCTCAGGCGCAGGCACGCGTATACGTACACAGCTACTCATTTAGTCATTCTTGTACTTTAAATTTATGCCTACCCTCATTATCTTTCAGAGGTGAAAAAACAGAATTTCGCTTTGTGATTGTGTTTGTTTATTTTGTAAGATCAATAGCTAACCGGTTATTCAGTTCTAACATTACATATCGGTTCAGGCCTAGGATATCTCATTGTTTTATATCATGAATGTGTTTCTCTTTGTGGTCTTGAGTTTCCCATTTTGAGGAAAAGAAGAATAGACCTACTCCCCCCCCCCCCCTCCCCTTACAAGCATGTCATAAAGATAGACCAGTCAAGTGATCGGGTCCTTCGAAGTTGTAGTGTATCTGCTCGAGAGGCGAGGAACCAACTGTCTGCATACAGATAAGTCGGATCTGTAAAACGGGTGTGCATGCAAAGTACAAAGTTCTGAAACACGACCAAAGTCCAAAAGTCAGTTGTCAACCAGAACTTGTCCATCAGAGTTTACAGCTGGTGAACACAAAGAAAAGGAAGAAGAGAAGAAATATGAGTTTATTGATGTGCTGTTGGAGATCACAGGTTGTGGAGAGACATGATTGCCAATGCCTTTCAGCGAGGCACTTGATGATGATGATGATCTGTTTATTGAGTCAGTGAACATTGTGTGTTATTTCGTCCCTGCTAGAATATCAAAGACAAAGATGGCAAGAGAGCCCTGGATATTTGCCTCTCTGTGCCCAACAAGACAATGGGGCATGAGCAGGTGGAGCAGCTGGTCAGGGAGGCAGCAGACAGACCTGTGAGTTATTTATCACCTAGAAATAAATGCCCCGTGTACCTGCTGTTGCATTGATAAGCCTAAGTTCTTAGCATTCCTGTAGAAACCACACCTGTAAAAAGGTCCCTTTTCCCACGTCTTCAGGTGTATTAGGCCTCGTTTACTTTCCATGACTTTACCTGGTGCCCATTTAGGGCTGGGTTGACTTGAGAGCAAAGATCAGTTTTTTAAAAAGTTTTAAGGATTTAACCTATGCATTGGGGGAAGTGGGGGGGGGGGGGGTGATGTGGGCCAGCCTGGACACTACATCTCTAGAGGCTACCAGCTCTGAGATCCCCTGCCAACTCGGTTCAACACTGCAGGAGTCCTCTTCAGGGCTTTTGGTGGCGTGCAGTGCTAAGCAATTTTATATAGCGCACATATAACCTGGTCACAATTATAACTTTAAGCTCTCTTTTGGGGGATGCTGGTTGAATGGGACGATTTTTAAAAATAGCAAAGTAAGCAAAGAAGTGTTAATGGAGAACAAGTAATATTTACTATTGTTTTGCACTTGGTCACTAGATTCTGACCAAGACTTGATGTTAAAAATAATTTTAAAAAACCCATGCACGCGGTGCACGCGTGCGAAAGAGAGAGAGACAGAAGGAAGAGGGGGGGAGGGGGGGGGGGAGAATAAACCGCATGCACACAAACAATAAAGTTGGTAAGATGTAAGAAGTGTGCACAATCTGGTGTCAGTAACAAGAACTGATACTAAAAAAAGACACACACACATACTCACATATGCACGCATAGAGAGGAGAGAGATAGAGAGAGAAAGAGAGCGAGAGAGAGAGAGAGAGAGAGAGAGAGAGAGAGAGAGAGAGAGTAGAGCGGGTGCACACAAAAAAAAGAATTCGTTAGTGAGATGATGTAAAAAAGTGTGTACAGTCGGGTGCCAGTAGTCATTTACATTTTAAATAATTCATTTGTTCATGTGTATGTTATATAACCGTGGGCAAGTAAAGTAATGACCTGTTGGGTATATGGTGCTAAGAGAAGGCTAAGAACTTATACTAGGAAGACTAGTGTCCAGTCACTCCAAAAGGTCAGTTCACAGAGAGACCCACATTAGGTCAAACAGTCATCTTTTGCTCACATTACAGGATAATGACGATCTGAAGAAGGTTTTAACAAACAGGAAGATTGAGGGTGTTAGAGACACAGCCAAGGAGCAACTGGCTGAACTGATAAGAACAAAAGGTTGTCGTATGGGAGACCAGGGCTAGAATCCTGGGTACGGTTGCGAATATTTTTCTGATAGGGTCAAAAATAAAATCCTAACACGTGTCGGCAGCACTAGCCATGGAGGCGTTAAATCCTCAGTGATCCTCCTGCCTACACCACAAAAGTGGTAATGACAGGCAACAGTGGCATGTGAATGAGAGAGACATCTAGAGAGAGGGAGATAATGCTGGATGGATTGTAAAAAGGCATGGTAGCTGATCAGTTGCCAGACTTATGGAGATCACAGAACAGATGTTTCCCAGATGTTGCAGCAGGACATAATTGCTTCCACTGCTTGGCATAGTCTGCAATTATGATGTATTTACAGTATTTAAAAAACAAAATTATAGCATCGCCACAATGGAGGGTAGCTGCAGTTATCCACTGCTGATTGGAAATATTACTTGCTGAGACCCCAGTCTGTTCCAGGGTGTTCAAAACAGTTGTCCCATTATGATACACAATTTTTCGTTATTTTAAAGCTCCCTCCTACTGTCAGGGGCCTCTGATATAACTTGGGTGATTCTCATCCATATGATGGCACTTTGTGTCACCGGGTGTTTATCGCTCGTTGTCTGGTCCTGATGGGTTTGAACTTCACTCATTCTTCCATGGTTTGACACACATATCACTGTCTTAAAGCTGGGAGAATGGTCTTTTTCTAAACCACTCACCTTGTGAGTCGAACTTTGGTAAAGGACCTGACGATTCCTTGGGTGAGCCCAGTATCAGAGAAATATGTAATGGTTCTGCATGTTGAGAGCATCTTGTATGGCAAGGAATGCTCATGTTCGGCCCCTGCCTTTTTTTTTTAGAGCTGACCAGCGTTAAGTGGCTGCTCTGGATCAGTCTGATGGAAGGCACCACCTGTGACCTAGGAAACAAAGATATTGAACAAAGAAGTGATACAGCAATGTCCCACAAAACTAACCAGGAAGGCTAAACCGGGCAACAAATGCCTGCAGAAGGTCAGATGTGTTGTGTGAAAAGCGCAGATATTGCAGCCATGTAGCAAACTGACACATTTATGTCTTTGGGTAAATGAATAACATTTGTAAAAGTCAAGGGTTGTATTGTGAAACCGTTTCCCTTACCTCTGTGCCTCAGAGCCACATTTGTACAGCATAGAGGAGGCTGTAAATCTTCATGATGTATACCGCTGATTGCATTAATGATCTGTCCGTGCTTGGTTCCTTGGCAGAACTATACAGTAGAAGTGTTTCTCATGGACAAGACCAGCAAGAACCTCATGCTGACATCAGGATTCAGGACCACAGTACAGCAGCTCAATGAGCAGATGATGAAGGTGAACCTGTTGTTCATTAGCTTGTTTCTTGTTTTTTCACCCACTAAACTTGAGGAATCAGAATCAGTCTTCCTTGTCCTTCTTTTTCTTAGCATTAACCTGTTTTAAAATCAGGTGAAGAGTTCTGGCTGTTCTTTCACTTCTGGACTTCAGTCTTGTTCCAGAACTGAGTTTTGTGTGCACATCCATTTTACAGATTTGGCTTATTTGTAAGCAGACTCTTGGTTTCTCACCTCTCAGGCAGATGCACTTTGAGGTAAACGCCCGTAATTAGTAACCTTTTACCACATGCTTGTTGGAAGAGGATGGAGAGTGGGTTTATTCTGTTTCCTCTAAACAGTGGGGCTGTTAGTACATGGTCAGTAGTGAGTCAAGGCAGTCACACATTCACATTCATTATACAGACGAGAGTCTTTGGGGATAGGGCCTGATAAACTGGGTCTTCTCTTCCACGAGTGTCTGATCCAGGCCAGGATGTTGCTTTCATGTAACTGACAGGACTTTATGCTTGGCCTGCACTGGTTATGTTTGAGGACAGACTCTGGAGATGTCACCAACCTCTGGTTGAATATGGCAGTTAGAGAGCTGACACTGTCAGTGTATTCTTTGTGGTTATGCATTTAAAAATGAGGAAGAAAACCAGAACAAAAACCAAGCCTGGAGAGAGCAGCCACATTTGAAAAGCCCAGTGGAGAACAGAATTGATAACGGCTCCATATGAAACCAGTGGCAGCATTAAACACTGTCGGATGTAGCCAACATAGTCTTTTCTGAACAAGTATTCAGAACCTAAAGATCACACACAGTTCACTATAATTGAAAGTCTGAGTTGAATGAGTAATAAGAATGTGATCTTTGCATTTTTAAGATAAGTTGATCTTAACATTGTTAGTTCCCTCATTTCTTCTTCGCGTCCACAGGCTGTAAACTCTGGCGGAAAGTTCTGTTGGTTTTTCCACTTCTGAACTTTAGTCTGACTCCACAACTTGAGTTTTGCGTGCCCACCAGTTTTACAGATCTGGCCTATTTTTCTGCATACCGTTGGTTCCATTGTCTCTCAGACACATGCATTCTGACCTCGTAGGAAACATCTAATTAGTCAACTTTAGAAGGAACCAAAAGTTTGCACACAAAAGAAGTCAGATCTGTGAAACAGATGCGCATGCAACACTCAGATTCTGGAATAAGACTAAAGTCTGGAGGTGGATGAACACTCAGAACTTTCTGCCGGAGTTCACAGTTTGTAAACACAAAGGAGAAGATGTGGTCAAGGCCCTTTGGGAACAAGCAACAAAATCAGTAGAGAAAGAAGATTATTATGGCTTGGAGAGAATGAGGCACCTGGGTGTAACCAGAGAGTCTGGCCGGCTCACTACACCCAGAGGAAAGGTAAGACAGACATATAACCAGATTGTGACCGGTACGATCAGTATTGGAACTCTGTGCTGGCTGCTGAAGATGAGGATGCAGTATGCATGGGAACGCCCCGAGGGCCGTGATGTCAATTTTTGACTCAACTCAACAAAGGAGAAGAAGAAGAAGTAGAAGACATTGAGAAATGGTCTAACAAATCCAAACTTCTTTGTTTATTTACAGGAGTTTAATCTGCCCAAAAACTATTCAGACATCTTCACCTTGTGGATTGGCTCAAAAAGTTTAGGTGAGTGTAGCCAGTATCTTTGTGTTCTTCCCAGTTTTGCCGAATGTATGTTAACTGTTGGAGAACTTGTATATGATGTCATTTTCAAAGACATGATCAGTGTTTTCATCATAGTATCATCATCATTATCATCATCATCATGTGCCCTGCCAGGCAGCATAGGCATTAATGTCTCTCCACAGATCCCGCTCTTGGTATTTTAAATCAGTTGCGTTGATGATATTCCTCCATTCCATTGCTTCAGGCTGTCAAGCATCCTCTCTCTTGGTCTGCTTCTGTCACTGATTTTTAGTTTAAGATAATTTTCTTAATTACCGGCAGTCATAAGAACCAAAAATATGATAGAAAAAATAATAAATAAGAAAAAGTAAAATAAAATAGCAATAAATGTACACAGGCAAAATAAATTGAACTACTTGTTAATGTGCAGTGGAAGGGACGAATCATAGGCATGACTCATGTTCTGTTTGTTAACAAATAGATGTCTTAAAAGATAGGAAAACATGAAATACTGTCACATATTTAAAATTTGAGGATGGTACAGTATGAATTTGACAAATAATTGAATTAATAGATGGACTTAAAAATATATTTTGATGAAATGAGGCCAAACGCAAATATTAAAGTCAATGACTTTGGTCCACATTTCTTATTCGTGTTCACAGGCTGTAAACTCCGGTGGAAAGTTCTGGTTGTTCATCCACTTCTGGACCCTGGTCGTGTTCCAGAAACTGAGTGTTGCGTGTACATCCGTTTTACAGGTCTGACTCATTTGCTTGCAGATTGTTGGTTCCTTGCATCTCAGGCAGATGTACTCTGGCTTCGAAGGAAGCTCTTAATTAGTCGACTCTTACAACATGCTTCTGGGCAGGCAGTGGATCTATTCTGGTTTTCCCTACAATGGGGCCCTGGAACCCACATGGTGAGATCCATATTTCTATTGCCCTGTGTGAAAGGGAGCTGCTGTGATGTAGTGGCTAGACACTCACCTGTAGATCTGAAGGTCTTGAGTACACATCCACATGGTACAATATTTTGTCGACGATGACCTTTGCTCTCCGGTCGACCCAGCCTTAAAAAAGGTATCAGGTAAAGTGTGGGAAGTAAAGGCAGTCAGTATGCAGTTGACCGTATCAACCACTGAGGGAGCTGTGTTAGCGCAGTCAATAGGAGGCTCACTTTCAAATCCAGCTGTGACACAGCCGGTGTTTGAAACCGGGTGGTTCCCGGGGTTCACCCATCCTCTAGGAAATGGGTACCAGAATGGAGGAACATTGCTGTAGCTACCCAGTTGCGTGCAGATGGCGACACAGGTGGACAGTTTCTTATCAGCTGTCCTTACTGGTGGCAGAGCACTTATGGTTTATAACCGTGTGCAGTGTCGCTGGTTCACATCTTCCGACTTTACCTTTTTTTTTTTTAAAACCACCGATTGCACAGTGGTCTAAAAATCTAGGTCTAGCACTATATACCAGGTAGGCCTAATGGGGTGGGAAAGGGGCCTTTTTTTGTGTGAAAGCTCTGCCACAGTAAAGTTTGCTGCAGCCGTCTTTCTTTGGCACTTTGCAGAACTTCAGCTAAAATTGGAATATGAGGTGGTGAAAGCCCTGCAGCAGTACAACACTCGAACTGTACACATGCTCACAGACAGCAAAAATCCATCGGAGGAAGAGCCTGTCCTAACCTGGAGGCGAAATGTTAAAGTCAGCGTGGAGAAAGAAAAACAGGTAAATTTTGTGATTAGCTGACCTTGATCTGTATCTGTCAGGTTTTCGGCTGTCTGTCGACTTCTGTCTTTAAATTTCAGTTGTATTTTGTCTCCGCAATGAGGGTTAACTACATTGTGCCACTGCTGTCTCGTGGAATATTAAATGATGGGGCCCAATCTCTCCCACAGTGTGACTCTCATTCCACAGCTGCGGGCAAGTTGAGGCTTGGTTTAGTTATCTTTTCCCGTACAATACTTTTATTACAAAAGCCGACTAACTACATTTAGTTGAGAGCTCATGCTCCCTTGGATGGGGAAAGGGGGTGGGGGGGGGGGGGGGGTAATAAAGGGCAAGACAAATAAATCTAATTTTATTCAAACATTTATTATCCTTTCCTGATTAGTTTTGTATAACAGTTGACTGTCTGAATGTGGGGACAAAATCCACGTCCATTTTATATCAGTAGCTGACTTTTCTGATGTGGTATTTCCCAGAGTGGTTAGTCTAAAGTTGTTTTCGTGTTGGGGTGTGGTTTTACAGAAAAATTCTGAGAATTTCGTGGACAGCCAAAAAGAGCAACTAAAATGTTTTGAAAAAGGCAAGGGCTCAAAGACAGCTTATCACAATCAGTAATTTCTCTGTGTGGGGCTCAGAACCCATTGTGAGAGAAAAAAGAATAGATCCACTGCTCCCTAAAAGCATGTCATAAAAGAAGTAAACTAATTAGGGGTGTTTCCTTAGATGCAAAACTCAAGTTCGGGAAAAAGACCAGAGGCAGACGCACAACCAGAACTTGCTCCTGGGGTTTACAACTGGTTAGCGCTAAGGAGAATAAATATCATAATTCGGTTGTGTTTATATTATTTTCCAATCTTTGCTTACATTATAGTAATTCTGTGGTGTGTGCATGATAATTCCTGCTATGCTTGTACCATGTTACACAATGTGCGTATTTTCTTTACCAGCTTCAACATACAAAAGCCCTAGATCTGCTCTTCCATGAAGCCTACCACAACTATATCAGTGGTCTATACCCCTGCAAGGACAAGGATGCTGTCACGTTTGCTACCATCTTGCTGTGTCTGCAGCATCAGGAGACGACCAGAGTCAAGCCAGCACTTTCAAAGTAAGTTACAGAGCCAGCCTTGAAAAAAAAAAAAAACAACTTCCATTTGTTCCTCTTAAAAAAGTCTACCATTATTCAGACAACAAAAGTATTTAAAAAAAAAAAAAAGGTCAGTTACCAGTTTCCATCTTCATCAACTTTTTATTTTATTTTTTTATAATAAAAAATAAAAATATTAATTACTTATTTGCTCCTGTTTATGTAAAACAAAAAAAGAAAACAAAAGTTTACTAGTCAGTTCATTATTCATTTAAAGATCAGCTTCATCGCACAATGGACATGACCATAGGTGTTCCTGCCTCCTTCTGAGTATGTCTGAGATTTTTTCTTTCTCTAATAACTCCCATTCTGTTCTGGTTGATGTAATGACGGGTGGCTCCCACATGGTTTTCTTGTCTCGCTGCTCCAGTTGGTACACCCAGGGTATGCAGTCTGTTCAGTGAAGTATCATTTTCCATGAAATTGAAAGCCTCACAATGTTTACTGTCTTCTGACATTGATGATCTCTCTCCTGTCTGTAGGTTGCTGAGTCTTGACAGTTGCACTGCCAGCCAGGGCATCTGCCTAACTGGCCCAAAACCCCTTTCCACTCCCAGGATCCTCGCCGGTGCTACAGAGCCGGTGCACTGTGCTGAGCTCCTTTGGACTCAGACTTGAGTTAGAAGAAGAACGGAGCACTTATGGGTTACTACCCGTGTGCCATGATGTCGATCCGTTGTTCAAACTTCAAACTCTTGAATGCACATGAAAAACAAAAAGTAATCCTGTTTTCCATACCTTGAATTATACTGGGTACAAGACACTAGTCCCATCTGTTTATGATATATGAACATAACATGCTTGATATATAAAATACAATTGAGGTATGAAAGGTGAGTGTTTGAAAGAGCTGAATGTAACACGTGCCTGCATGCCCAATTTATAATAAGCCTTTGGAAATAAAGTTTCTTCATTCGTTTCTTTAGACCACCCCACTGTTAGTTACCTTTTTTGGACACTGTGGTCAGTATTTAGGCAACCTTTTCTTTCCAGAAAATTTTCTTTTCCCACTTAGGAGCTCAGATAATGTGAAAGAAATCCCTACCTGTGTCAGGAAAAGCACAGTTGTATCACTCGAAACCTTTTTGTCCTCAGTTTAAGTCAAAACCAGTTGAAGGAGCTCATACCAGCTGCAATATTAAGACATAAAGACACAAGCCACTGGGTGAACAAGATCTCCAAGGAATATCCGAATGTCAGGGACACACCACAGCAGGTTAGACAATCAGAGATTGTGTTTGTGATATCGCAGTCATCTTAAACTGGGCACCCTATCTCATGTGTGTGTACTTATCTGATTAGTTTGGGTCCAGTAATCAAGCTCTCATTTTCTTTTTTTCCCTGGACTCAGTCAGATAAGTACATATGTTCATATTTGTGTGTTATTAGCATCCTTTTGATATTTTCTCCAGAGTGTGCAGGTGTCTTGAGAACTGATAGACAGATTGGGTGGTTCTGCACCACTTGGTGGTAAACTGACACATGATAAGCTAAATCTTATGAAGGCCCTTAATGAGATAGTAAACAGTGCAGAAGCACAAATAGGTCATCACAGTCTGAAGAGAAGGATGCAGCGGGGAGTAACCATCGGATCTGACGGACAAACAACGAGAGGGAAGGCAAGATGGGCATACAGACAGTTAACTGCTACTGGTGCCATTGGAATTGGCTTTCTGTGCTGCCTGCTGAAGATCAGGATGCAGCGATTATGGAAATGTCTTTGAATGAATTGATGTCAGTTGTTAACCCAACACAGCAAAACATATTTGTGTGGTATGTAAATTTAGTATTCTGTTATTTATGAGCTCATCTTACACAGATAAGTACGTACACCTGTTCATATGTGTGTATAATGAAATTCATATTCAGTTGACTTCATTCTCAGGAAGCTGCTGTGGCATAGCAGCCAGATGGTTTCTTGCTGGCCTTAAAGTCTTGGCTTCGAATCTGCATCAAGTCTGAAGGGGCGCAGGTCAAGTCCTGGGAAGTAAAGGTGGCCGCCATGGCGTTGACCTCATTACTCACTGAGTGCTGTTTGATCTGCAAAATTCTGATAGCTTCTTATACCGATACACCACTGATGGGAAAAAGCTCCCTTACTTTATTTGTGACCTGATGCTTATTGATTTATAAAAACTGTGAGAGGAACGTTCATGAACTGGCCAGAAGCTTAACTGTCATCTCCACGGTTTTGGGTCAAGATCCCGATCCAGGTGGGTTGTTATTATTGAACAATGCTTCCAGCTTAACCCAGCCTAGAATAAGTAATAGAAAAGGACTTGGGGAGATGAACCCTGTCATCCTGGTGACCTAAACAAAACGCCTGTGGCGTAGGTGTAATAAATGGTTTTGTACTTCTACTCGTTGTCTAGGCGGTGTTCATGCGTGTGTGGTGGATGATATTATCACACGCTTCACGTTACACACCTGGCACAAGCCGACACCGATGTGAGCTTACGAGACATTACTTTATTGACGTATTACAACTTACGACAAACAGAATCGTCCAGTCGATGTCTAATTGAACCGCTTTCGTACACAACTCACGCAGCCTTTTAACGAACAGTCTTCTGCAGGCATTCAAGCAACGATGGGTCCCATGGATTCAGCACTGACGTTTGGACATCTCACACGCTGGCATGGTCGATCTCAGCTTAACACTTCGTCGGCAGGTCTCCTTTCTCCTCAGGCACTCACGTAGACATTCGCACATTCAGTCGCTCGTCCTCTCGCTCCAACAGGTCGACACAAACTAAACTTGACCAGAGTCAAGTCTGACTTATACCACGGGTTCCTTTCACGTGACAACACGTGGTGGTCCTTTACTTTTCCCGTGGCGACCTTGGGTCGCATCACCGTGGTCCCCGTGATAACTAGTGGTTAGTCACCTATCTCCAGATTCTCGTTTAATCCAAGTATCTGGACTATCTCGGTGTTTTCGGTCAGCTTTGGGCCTTCCCCCCAACCATCCTAAACTGGGTCGAAAATATCCCCCATTACAGTAGGTATGGCGAACGCACTTGTAATGTCGGGGTGCCGGGTTCGATTCCAGCTGCAGAGGACTTGGCAGCTCTCTCTCTCTCTCTCTCTCTCTCTTTCTCTCTCTCTCTCTCTCTCTCTCTCTCTCTCTCTCTCTCTCTCTCTCTCTCTCTCTCTCTCTCTCTCTCTCTCTCTCTCTCTCTCTCCACCCAATCAACTAATGTAATCTAAGATATATTTATAGTTGCAGAAAAGATGAAGTCTATTGTTTGTATTGTATGGCTTCCATAGCCATGTTTGTAACTTTGTGTTTTCCAATCTTCAGCAACTCAAGTCACAGTTTCTCACCGCATGCCAGAGACTAACTGTTTACGGCTCTGCCTTTTTTATGGGAACCATCATATCCCCTTTAAGGAAGGTAGGCACTAGTGCATTAGGACAAGTTTCTGCTCACATACTTTTCTTAGTGGGGTTCTTTCTGTCTTTCTGTCTTTCTGTCTGTCTGTCTTTCTTTCTTTCTTTCTTTCTGTCTTTCTGTCTTTCTTTCTTTCTTTCTTTCTTTCTTTCTTTCTTTCTTTCTTTCTTTCTTTCTTTCTTTCTTTCTTTCTTTCTTTCTTTCTTTCTTTCTTTCTTTCTTTCTTTCTTTCTTTCTTTCTTTCTTTCTTTCTTTCTTTCTTTCTTCTTTCTTCTGTCTGTCTGTCTGTCTGTCTGTCTGTCTGTCTGTCTGTCTGTCTGTCTGTCTGTCTGTCTGTCTGTCTGTCTGTCTGTCTGTCTGTCTGTCTGTCTGTCTGTCTGTCTGTCTGTCTGTCTGTCTGTCTGTCTGTCTGTCTGTCTGTCTGTCTGTCTGTCTGTCTGTCTGTCTGTCTGTCTGTCTGTCTGTCTGTCTGTCTGTCTGTCTGTCTGTCTGTCTGTCTGTCTGTCTGTCTGTCTGTCTGTCTGTCTGTCTGTCTGTCTGTCTGTCTGTCTGTCTGTCTGTCTGTCTGTCTGTCTGTCTGTCTGTCTGTCTGTCTGTCTGTCTGTCTGTCTGTCTGTCTGTCTGTCTGTCTGTCTGTCTGTCTGTCTGTCTTTCTTTCTTTCTTTTTTTCTTTCCTTCCTTTCCTTCCTTTCCTTCCTTTCTTTCCTTCCTTTCTTTATTTCTTTCTTTCTTTCTTTCTTTCTTTCTTTCTTTCTTTCTTTCTTTCTTTCTTTCTTTTTCTTTTTCTTTTCTTTCTTCTTTCTTTCTTTCTTTCTTTTCTTTCTTTCTTCTTTCTTTCTTTCTTTCTTTCTTTTCTTTCTTTCTTTCTTTCTTTCTTCTTTCTTTCTTTCTTTCTTTCTTTCTTTCTTTCTTTCTTTCTTTTTTCTTCTTTCTTTCTCTTTCTTTCTTTCTTTCTTTCTTTCTTTCTTGCTTTCTTTCTTTCTTTCTTTCTTTCTTTCTTTCTTTCTTTCTTTCTTTCTTTCTTTCTTTCTTTCTTTCTTTCTTTCTTTCTTTCTTTCTTTCTTTCTTTCTTTCTTTCTTTCTTTCTTTCTTTCTTTTCTTTTCTTCTTTCTTTTCTTTCTTTCTTTCTTTCTTTCTTTCTTTCTTTTTCTTTTCTTTCTTGCTTTCTTTCTTTCTTTCTTTCTTGCTTTCTTGCTTTCTTTCTTTCTTTCTTTCTTTCTTTCTTTCTTTCTTTCTTTCTTTCTTTCTTTCTTTCTTTCTTTCTTTCTTTCTTTCTCCTAAACTTGTTTCTGTTCAAATAAATTTCTTGAGTTAAAAATTAAAGATTTCTAAAAATTTAACATTGTCAACCTTTCTTTCTTTATTTCATTTCTCCAAAACTTTCCCTACCTTCTTTCCTCCCTCACTCCCTGTCTCCCCTTCTCCTTCCCTTTCTTCCACAGTGTATGTCTGTGTATCACAGGTCAATAAATATTTATTGGTTAAGATGAAAAAGAGTTGTTTTGCCAGCGATATCGACCCTCCTCTGTCCGTGTGGTTTCTGGGGCTCATTGTGGGGAAAACAAAAATAAATCCACTGCCTCCCAACAAGCATGTCATAAAGGGTGATAATTAGTGATGTTTCCTTCGAAGTCAGAGAACATCTGCCAGAGAGGCAAAGGACCAACAGTCTGCACCCAGATGAGCCAAATCTGTAAAAGGAATCTACGCAAAACTCAGGTTCTGGAACAAGACTTCAGTTTAGAAGTGGATGAACATCCAGAACTTCCTCACAGAGTTGACAACCGGTGAACTTCAAGAAGAAGTAGAAGAAGTTGGTTTGTGTGTGTGTGTGTGACATAGAACAACTGTGAAAGAAATCAAAAGACATAATACTCAACACCACATGGCTTGGACTGTAAGGAGAAGAATCAAGAGGTGTACATTGAGGTGAAGAATATGTTTTCAGTGAAGACTTGATAAGGAGAACTCACTGGAGACCCAAGAAATAGTTCTTCTTATGAGAAATTCCTCTTATTCAGATAAGAGATAAAGCAAAAAAAAAAAATTTGCTGTGGATAAATTGTTCTTCACAACATAAATTTGCCACATCTGAGATCACCGTAAGTGATCTGCACTGTAATACTGTAATCCTGATGTGCGGTGATATATGTTTGTTGTGTTCTGCAGGCGCCGACCTCATGCTACGTTGGAGTGAATGACATCGGTATACACATCATCGGCCTACACACAAAGGTCAGTGTTTTCTGGTGTTGTAAAGAAATCGTTCTGTATCGCCATCTATGGCTGCTTCTTGTTGGATGTTTTGTTCTATCCTTTCCTTTGTTGTCTCTCTTTCTTTCCCCGCAGGCACTGGTTTACATTATGTTGGCAACAGCTGCCAGTTTGCCATCACTGCCTATATTTACCACTTTTGCAGTGCTGGCAGGGAACTCTTGAAGTCTGAGGATTAAGGGCTCCTGGCTAGTTCTTCAGCATGGACTGTACATTTTAAGATTTTTTTTTCCTGACAGAAAAAAAAACACATCTCCAACCTTACTGAGGATGTGAACCCAGATCTTTCACATGGGAGCCCTGCATTCTTAACTATTCAGCCAACCATCATCATCGTTATAAATTTTCAAGTAAAAGTAAAAAGTAAAGATACCTTTACACGCCCTTAGGCACATTGGGCATATGGGAAGAGCACCCATATTTTTAACAGACCAATCGGCACTCGGTGGGTAATGTGATCAGCATTTCGCCAGCCATCTTTACTTTCCCAGGACAGCCCATCCTGTTACCCATTGGGGGCGGGGTCCACCTGCGATGTCCCATACCACGATAAAAATCCACGCAGCCCGCAGTGGGTTTCGATCACGGTACGTTGGATTATGAGTCAGACTCGCAACGCCTTAGCCACGGACGCCGCTTAAATTTTCAAGTGCTGTCTAGTTAATAAATGTTTGTTGTTTATTTGACATCAGGTAGCTAAGCAGGCACTTTACCTGAAAAAAAACACATTACTTTCAACCAGCATCCCCAAAGGGGGAGCTTTAGGTTATAATTGTGACTTGATTATGTGCACCATATACAGTGGCTTAGCACTGCAGGCCACCAAGAGCCCTGAAAAGGACTTCTGCAGTGTTGATGGGATCCGAGGAGACAGACCCACATACTGTCCCGACTCGCGGCGAAGTCGTCTACCGGTGAACCAAAGGTGCAACATGGTTGCTGCTGTGTGAAATCAGGTAGCGTACAAGAATTCTTTTTGTAACCTCCAGGGGCAGTGATTGCATGTCTGTTGAAACGAGGACTAATTACTGGCATCATATGGACTAGCAGAATACAGTTGTTGGGGCGTAGTCATTCTGGAAGATAACAGAGAGACAAAGAATGTGTATAGATGAGAGTTCACTGGGAGTTAGACCATGAAAGACTGTAAAGAGGTAATGTATATGCACACCTGCAAACACTGGAGCCATCAACTGGAAAGAAAAAAGGCCAGTAGGAGAGATAAATTGGAGCCAGGTGAAATCTGCAGCAATCTACCTCGGAGGCTTAGAATGCTGCAGAGGAGGAAGAAGAAGGTAGTGTTTGCATGTCTGTTCTGTTCTTTATTTCTGAGTCACATCTTCTAATGTATTCCATTCTGTTCATATTTAAATTATATTTTTTCAGCAAATGGTTCAGTCAATGGTTTACAGAGAGATAACATGGAAACACATCGCAGAGAAAACGATGTTAGAGGTACCGGGTTGTTGTCCTTATGTTTCCTAGTTTGTCTTCCTTTGTTTTATTTTAATTTTGTGAGTGCATTTGTTGTTGTTTTTGTAACAGCTTGTAGAGTTGATGGAAAATTGGCTAATCTCCTTACATCTACACATCAAATCAGTCATATTGATACAACTTCATGTCGTAGGGGCATAAATCTACTGCCTGTATGAGAGTGACATTAGCAACCTGTTTAGGTTATCCTAGTATTTCTTGAAGATTACAAAACAAAAGCTCAACACTCAGTAGACAAACTGTCATAATGTCTCAGGTATGGGTCAATGCATCCATACTTCAAGAGCTGAATATTGAAGAAGGTTGGCTAATAAATAGGATATAGGAGTATATGCCAGGGAAGAGAGGAAGAGGAAGGCCAAAGAGAAGATGGGTGCAGTATGTGGCGGATGATCTCCATATGGGTGTAGCGGATGTGGGACATCTTGCTTGTGATTGAGATGTTTTCCAGAGGGTTGTTATGGGAGCATGGTTCTGCAAGGGACATGTTACTGACTGACTGATGGGTACTGTGATGTAAGTAACAGCACACACTGCAGACTAACTATCATCATATTTCAAGTATGGAGATACTGTGATGTAAGTAACAGCACACACTGCAGACTAACTATCATCATATTTCAAGTATGGAGGTACTGTGATGTAAGTAACAGCACACACTGCAGATTAACTATCATCATATTTCAAATATGGAGGTACTGTGATGTAAGTAACAGCACACACTGCAGATTAACTATCATCATATTTCAAGTATGGAGATACTGTGATGTAAGTAACAGCACACACTGCAGACTAACTATCATCATATTTCAAGTATGGAGGTACTGTGATGTAAGTAACAGCACACACTGCAGACTAACTATCATCATATTTCAAGTATGGAGGTACTGTGATGTAAGTAACAGCACACACTGCAGACTAACTATCATCATATTTCAAGTATGGAGGTACTGTGATGTAACAGCACTCAGTGCAGACTAACTATCATCATATTTCAAATATGGGGGTGGGGTACAGTGATGTAAGTAGCAGTCAGTGCTGACTAGCTGTCATCATATTTCAAATATGGGGGGGGGGGGGGGGGGGGGATAGGGAGGGGGGGGGGGGGGGGGGGGGGGGGGGGGGGAGGGGGGGGGGGGGGGGGGGGGGGGGGGGGGGGGGGGGGGGGTGGGGGGGGGGGGGGGGGGGGGGTAAGTGATGTAAGTAGCAGTCAGTGCAGACTAACTGTCTTCATATTTGAAATGTGGGGGTGGGGTGGGGGGTTACAGTGATGTAAGTAGCAGCAGTCACTGCAGACTATCATAATATTTCAAATATTTGGATGTCGTAATGAAAGTAGCAGCGCTTATTAAATAAACTTTCGTAGTAATTTTATGTAGGGTTAACATGATTGATCACTGAAAATGAAACGGCTGCAAGAAGTGATGAAGATAATTGTAATATTAGTTAGTTAGTCTTTCCTCTTGTGTCGAGTGCGGCACATAGGGCAGAGGTCGTGACTCTCCATGCACGGCGGTCCGTTGCAATCCGTTGTAGGTCTTGGATGTTTGAGTGGCCCATGAGCGAGCCTTCCCTGATGATAGTTCTACGTAGGGTTTCCCTTGGTCTTCCACGAGATCTTTTCCCCTGTGGTGTCCAAATGTAATATACAGTCAGAAAAAGGTCTAACAAGGGTCTTGTTTAAACAGCAGAGAAACTAGTAATGGCAATTGCAAAGAAAATATGTCCTATAAAATGCGACATCAAAGTAAGGAGAGGTATCACGTAAGCCAATACGTTAAAGTTCATGGGCATCATGATAACAGCTGATGGAAGGTTTATTAAAGAAGTCAGATGCAGAATAGCTCAAGCAAAGTCAGAATTTCACAAAAGGAAGAGCTTTGCAATATTTCTGTAAGTTAAGGTGAGGAAGAAAATTCTGAAAAGCTAAATAAATCCTATCCTGATATAGAGAAGTGAATCATGGACGGTTAGCCGATTAGTGAAAAATAATATTGTGTCAGTGGAGGTGTGGTTTTATAGACCAATGATGAGAACACCTTGGAAAGATAAAAAAGAGTAATGTTGTTATCTTGAAAGAGATTTCCGCGCGAAGAGGACTGATTCCCCCACACCAGGAGGAGACAATCTACATTCTTTGTTCATATCATGAGGAGAAAACAGGAATGTATCATGACGGTGGGGAAAGTTGAACGGGAAAAGAGATAGAAGGAGTCAGAAGATACTGAACAGTCTGATGTCATATTATGGAAGATCATATGAATCAGAAATGATTAAAAGTGCACAAGACAGGATGTTGTGGATAGACATGACTACCAATGCCACACGGCATGGACTATAAGAAAAAGACCATGATTAGACCATCATAGCATTTCATGTAAGGTTATGTATACTATTTTAGAACCATGAATGGGTTTCTAATCTTTGCTATTTAACCTGATATTGGTACTTACATAAGTGAATACCTGATATTGGTACTTACATAAGTGAATACCTGATATTGGTACTTACACAAGTGAATACCTGATATTGGTACTTACATAAGTGAATACCTGATAATGGTACTTACATACGTGAATACCTGATATTGGTACTTACATAAGTGAAAACCTGATATTGGTACTTACATAAGTGAATACCTGATAATGGTACTTACATAAGTGAATACCTGATATTGGTACTTACATAAGTGAATACCTGATAATGGTACTTAAATAAGTGAATACATGATAATGGTACTTACATAAGTGAATACCTGATAATGGTACTTACTTACATAAGTGAATACATGATAATGGTACTTACATAAGTGAATAACTGATAATGGTACTTACATAAGTGAATACCAGATACTTTTTGGAATTGTTTGAGAAAGAAAGGCCGTAAGAAAGGCAACTGATCAGCACACCTCATATGTTGAGGTTTAGAATTGGTAAAAGTATTCCCCATGTTGGTTTTGGAACCTCATTTTGAAGGAACAAAAATAGACCAACATCCCTTCCATAACAAGCGTGTTGTAAAAGTCGACTAACTAATCAGGGTCTTTCCTTCAAAGTCGGAATGCATCTGCCTGAGAGACTTGGAATAGCAGTCTGCACACAAATAAGCCAGATCTGTAAAACAGATGTGCATACAGAAGTCAGGTTCTGGAACAAGACCAAAGTCTTTCTGCCGGAGTTTGCAGCCAGTTACTGTGAAGAAGAAGCAGAAAATGGGTGGTGAGTGTAAAACGTCTGAAAAGCTGTGACAGAGAAGCACATGCAGATCTGTCACTGCACACTCTAATCTTGTACTGACATCAGAATTATTGTTATCTTGAAACAGATCAGAATCATCAGGCCTGTCAACCGCAACCCGAGAGATTCGTCAACAAGAGGTGTCATTGAGATTCGAACACGGCAGGCAGGTTTGATCGACCATTTAATGCAACAGTTAGATCGAATGCACGGTGACTACTCTAACAGATAATATATTTATGCTTCCCAAAAGCGACTTGTTGCCAGTTTGTCATTAGACAGTAGGACTTCTGGGCCATTGATGAATGACTTCAAACATTCCTTTTATTGTGAGAAGATAATGTAAGATATATGTTACAATTTGTGAACATAGGATGAAGTAATGTATTAAGTATGCTAACTAATGATTGTGGTTTTGCTTGTATATTGTGCTAATGATAAATATTGGAAGTTAATTAATGATTGAGTATCTGATTGTTGGAAAGTGTCAGCATAAACAGTGACATTTATGAATAACTTGTGATTAAAATTGTTTGGTTTCTTGGACCCCATTTTGAGAAAAAAAAAATAGAGCCACTGACCCCCATAACAAGCATGTCATAAAAGACAACTAATTTTGGGTTTACAGAAGTTGAAGTTATTGGGCCAAAAGGTGCAAATATAATACAGCTTAACTGTAAACTACAACACAGCATGTCAGTTATCGTTTTAAAGAATGTGACATTGTCATTTATAATTGTTTAGGTTGAAACATGATTATATGTTTGTGTGTTAGTCATAGCTGTCAGAAACCTTGATACTGTTAAACAATTGGTTTTTATCTGCTATAATTTTGTTGGGGTTAATAAATGATTTTAAATTTGTTTATGTTTTTGTATTAGTCCTAAAGATTTTCGTTATTTATTTAGATTTAGATTGTTTATATGTTACATATTCAGATTGATTGCAGTGTTTTTGATTGTGTTAAGTTTGATAAATGATGTATCATTAATGCTGAGTTTTGATAAATGATTATTCATCATACTGAGTGTTGATAAATGATTTGTCATTATTGATGAGTTGTGATAAATGATTTGTCAATAATACTGAGTTTTGATAAATGATTTGCCATTATGCTGGGTTTTGATAAATGATTTGTCATAATACTGAGTCTTGATAAATGATTTGTCATTAATTCTGAGTTGGGATAACTGATTTTTCATTAATGCTGAGTTTTGATAAATGATTTGTCGTTATACTGAGTTTTGATAAAGGATTTGTCATTAATGCTGAATTGGGATAAACGATTTTTCATTAATGCTGAGTTTTGATAAAGGATTTGTCATTAATGCTGAGTGTTGATAAATGATTTGTCATTAATACTTTGTTGTGATAAATGATTTGTCATCAATGATAAGTTTTGATAAATGATTTGTCATTGATGCAGAATGTTCGATAAGTAATTTGTTATGAACTCTTTGAGTCCCAGGGAACGGACCTCGCGCTAATTGGTTACAGATGAGCGGCCCATTCGATGCTTGACAAATGAATGTTTTTAATTTACTACTGATTGGTAGTAAAAAGTGGACAGATCAATTTCAACTTCTTTCAGAGTTTTTTGTGTCTGATATCAGGCGTGCTCATTTAGAAATGTGGTTTGAAAGCTGAAAATACAGTATATTTGCTAGGTTTGCTGTTACTGTTTGTTTGAAAACAAAAGAGCAGTCTGCATGCATGCCCGCATGATTTATGGCGCCAGAAGCCTCAAATTTAAATAATTTTTGGCTTTAGAAGCCTCAAATTAAAATAATTTTTGGCTTTAGAAGCCTCAAATTTAAATAAAGCACATGTTTATTAGATTTATCTGAAGATTGGTAGATAATGTTGTGAATTAGACGTTTATCAGTAATTTATAGAGTCAAACTTTGATGAGCCATATGTCTAATGTGTACCTCACGCGAAGGGTACAACCATAGCAAAGTCAGCTGGCACAAATAGAATAGACATTAGTGAAAAGACGATTTTCTTCAGTGTCAGTTCTAGTGCTGTTCACCTTATTATTTAGGAACACAGCTACAAAATTACAGGCAAATTGAATGTTTTATAAACTTGGTTTTGTGTGAAGATGCTAATTGTTTTGGGAGTCAGTTTTCTTTACCAAATAATGGTGCTCTGTTATAATGTTTCAACAGAATCTCTGGAACAAAATCTAATGTATAGATTGAGTTAAAATTTTTCTTATACATTACTAAGTGGTTCATATTCATTTTTGATTCATTTTGGATATATTTTAAGGAGTTTTCCTTGAGTGTCATGGTGGTAACTGGACATTTTTTAAATTTCATTTTACTAATTTCTGTAAACATACAGACTGTTTATTTACAACTATTTAATTACAAATGCAATTATTTGTTGTAGCAGTATTCTATAATTATTCCCAAACAATCCCTGATCACTTTGATGTATAATATGTGTATGCTGCGCGGTAGTTGGTCTTTTTAATGTGTAACACTTGTGAAATTTTAAAATTGCATTACCACCCCTGGGCCTGGGATGCTAAACCCTCTGGGACTCAAAGAGTTAATGCTGGGTTTTGATAAATGATTTGTCATTGATGCTGGGTTGTGATTAATTATTTGTCATTGATGCTGATTTTAGACAAATTATTTGTCATTTTACTGTGTTTTAATAAAGGATTTGTCATCATACTGAGTGTTGATAAATGATTTGTTTTTATACTTAGTGTTGATAAATAATCTATCATTAATGCTGAGTTCTGGTAATTTATTTGTCATTTATGCTAAGTTTTAATAAATAATTTGTCATCATACTGAGTTGTGATAAATGATTTGTCATTATAATGAGTTGAGATAAAAGATTTGTCATTAAAGTATCATTAATTTTAGATTAATAATTTGTCATTGATGCAGAGTGTTCGATAAATGATTTATCATTAATGCAGAGTTTTGATAAATGATTTGTCATTAAACCTTAGCTTCGATAAACGATTTGTTATTAATGCTGAGTTATGATAAATGGTTTATCAATAATTCTGAATTGGGATAAATGATTTGTCATTGATGCTTAGTTTTGATAAACAATTTGTCATTTTACCGAGTTGTGATAAATGATTTGTCATTATACTGAGTTTTGATAAATGATTTGTAATTAATGCTGAGTGTTGATAAATGATTCGTCAATAATGCTTAGTTTTGATAAATGATTTGTAATTAATTCTGAATGTTGATAAATGATTTCTCATTGATGCTGAGTCTTGATAAATGATCTTTCTTTAATGTTCTGTGTTGATAGATGATTTGTCATTAATGCTGAGTTTTGATAAATGATGTATCATTAATGTTTGATAAATGATTTATCATTGAAGCAAAGTGTTCGATAAATGATTTGTCATTAGTGATGAGTTTTGATAAATGATTTGTCATTAGTGCTGAGTTGTGATAAATGATTTGTCATAAGGCTGAATTTTGATAAATGATTTGTCATTGATGTATCATTAATGTTTGATGACTGATTTGTTTTGAGATTGTGTAACTTTAGAATACATGGTCATAATTTATGATAAGAAGTGGTTGTTGTTATGATCGTGTACAAATATTGATCAAAATGCTGAGGTTGGCGAATCAGGGGCATATTTTGATTGTTTTGAAGTGTCGGTCATAAACATTGATCATCAAGTTGTGTATACATTTTAATCACTAAAGTGATAAACAGTTCATCAGCCATACTGATGAGTTCACCAAAGGATTAACACAAGTAAACTAGCTGTACCAATGGTAGGTCATACAATCTATCATATTCATCATGTGGCAGTTCCTTTGCAGAACGTAGCTCTCATTACAGTCTGTCTGAAAGAAACTCGGTCTATTGCCAGCTCTCCCACCTCATGCAACTTCATATCCAAGGAGTCACTTATATCCTTTGCCCATCTTCATGTTGGTCGACTGCTGCCTCTCCTTCCTGATACCATGCCTTCTGCTATTAGTTTTTTTCCAATTCGCCGTGGGGCTTGATATGACCAAAACAGCTTCCAAGGCAAGATGCTGTTTATTAGTCAGTCTTCCTTAATCTTTAAGAATGTCAGTATTTCTTCTCTTCTTTGTCCATGGAATTCTGATAACCTTTCTATAGCATTTCAGCTCAAAAGCCCTTTTTTTTTTCCTTAAGGACTGGGAGATGGTCCACGACTCACATCCTTTTGTGGCTCCAGGGAAGATGCATCCTCTCTTAATTTTAACTAATTTCTTGCTGGTGCTTAACCATAGACTTTTATTGCTGTTTAATCTGTGCTTTGCTATGGCCATCCTCCTTTTAAAACCAACCAACCAGCCATATTAAAATGCTTGATGTTTTTACATGTTAAACTTGTTGTTGGTACTTTTCTATCTTTTCTAGACAACTGTGTTTTATTGTGCTATAGGAAGACATACCAGTCACAGCGTATGGTGAAGGCGAGATCTCTCATGATTCTACTCAGATGCTCAACTCTGAACCTGTCTGCAATATTTTTCTCTTTTAACCCTATTCACTTTCTGATTTTTTCCCCCCAGTGCAGCACGGTCCATGGCATCCTGTTTCCACAAATCCACAGCAGTGCCTGTATCATTCATGTCCCCCTTGCACACATCTTTATAGTATCCCATATGGGTTCCAAGGCCTCATTCTGGGGGAAAAACAGAATTGACCCACAAGTATGTTATAATAAAAGGCAACTGATTTTCCTTCAAATTCTGAGTATCTGCCTGAGAGGCAAGGAACCAACAGTTTGCATTTAAGTAAAACAAATGTGCATGCATAACTCATGAATTGTTGGACTAATTATTGCAAAATATACACATAAATATCTGAATGTGTACACAACATACATCTTCAGTCTTTGGTCAGAAATGTGTACAGAATGTACACCTTGAATCTTTGGACTGAATGAGTGGACTACATCATAAATGTTTTGTTTAAATGTAAACAGAATAGTTCCTCTTTTTTGATTAAGTGTGAACAAAGTGTTCATCGTGAATCTTTAGTCTAAATGTAGACAGAATAGTACATCTTGTGGACTACATGTAGACAGAATAGTACATCTTGTGGACTACATGTAGACAGAATAGTACATCTTGTGGACTACATGTAGACAGAATAGTACATCTTGTGTACTACATGTAGACAGAATAGTACATCTTGTGGACTACATGTAGACAGAATAGTACATCTTGTGGACTACATGTAGACAGAATAGTA